TCATGCTTTACTATACTATACTAGACTATACCACACTATACTATACTATATCATACTATACTATACTATATCACACTGTACTATAATATACAACCCATTATACTATACTATACACCCCATTATGCTTTACTATACTATACTAGACTATACCATACTATACTATACTATACTATACTATATCACACTATACTATACTATACACCCCATTATACTATACTATACTATACACCCCATTATTCTATATTATACTATACTATACACCCCATTATACTATACTATACTATACTATACACCCCAATATTCTATACTATAATATACACCCCGTTATGTAAGTTCGTTCTTCAAGCCTGTATTGTTCAAAACAAAAAAATCGAGGCTCCCACTTTATTGGAGTGGACTAAGTGAAAGCGGGAGATCAACTAATGTGCGTCTCCTTGGAAACACTTAATAGCTTTCACACCCACTCTCAGTCCAGATGGCGTCTCAAACGGGTGATGTCAGTCCGACTGTGAAAGACAGCTCGTCTGCTGCGCTGGTGATCCTCTGTAATACTGATGTGTGAGATAGTATTATCACTGACTCATGGGGGATTACAGTGGCTGATATTATAGGAAACGCACAGCTCCTCTGAGCTCTTTGACTTTAGTAACAGGTCAAATTAGACTTTAGTCTTTAATGCAGTTCATTAAAGAGGCCATAATCTGGACTTTTTGTATGGGTTAATTTGTATAATATTAGTCAAAGATTCTTGCAATTTAATAGCATAACAAACACGGTGAACTAGATTTTCTGTAGAATTCTTTGAGTGATGAATCATGTTCATAAGATGCTGATATGTAAATGTGGGTGGCCATATGTTAATAAGCACATAAGCATGATGATTTCTATTAGCTGTTTTCTTCAGTTCAGTTGCTATAAATTCTCTGGTTGGCCTGTTTAAGAGCTTAAGTAAGTCTACACAGAGCATCAAACTTGTTTATTTCAGAAAGGATGCAGTTGACGCTGCTGGTGATCCTTCACACTCATAGCTGTTTGTAGATGCACGTCGTGTTGTGAAATGTTTATATGCAAGAAGTCAGAACATAGCAACATCTCTATAGTTCAAATAGAGTTATATGAGATCGACTTGATAAAACTCTCACAGTTGGAGCTGAGATTAAAAAGCTTTCTTTTACAATTTCCCGATTCTCAGAACAAAAGCTGGGTCATATTGCTAATGTATTAGCTGTTACAGGTATCCAGCTGAGCGTGGAGAACTTTCCCAAAACCCGTTAAGTGTTTTGATCACTGTGTGAGTGATCTGAGAGGATTTCCACTGTAAAACTCACATTCTTTCCTATTTGTTGCGCTCTTTCCCGGCACGGCGCTTCATCGGTCAGTCAGGCATGCTGGGACTTCCTCTGGCCATCTGGGAAAGAGCAAACCGAGTCCCTGTGGAGTTCCTTAGACATTTAGCATCAGTTTTTTCTACGAACATACACATGCGTAGACCACCTGTCAAAGGATTGAACCCACTTCTGTAACACCAACTCCCATGATGCACTGCAGTTGACACTGATTCAGTCTCCCTATAAGCTAATGATATTTTATACAGGATGTATCTTAATATTTTGATGTCACTCTCTGTCTTCAGGTATGGATGATTTGTCATATGTGGGGTCTGGCTGAGGGCCACTGTTGCCCAGGCATCTGCACCCCATTGGCTGGTTCACCAGCATGTACCGTAGAAATGGCCTATCGGATGGCACCAGCATTAGCCCCGCCTCCTCTGAGGTAACTGCTCCTCCTTTCTAAAAAATCATAATAGAATATTTGAAACTGACAAATAATGATCTACTCATTGCCTTTGGTCAAGGGGTCATCATTGGAAATAAAATGTACTTATTTCAGCAGTATTTATTTTAAGTGTAGGAACTGTGATTATAACAGTATACTTCTTTAGTGACTCATGTGCAGGGTTATTATAGTTAACTAAAAGCATAAAAATAATTTTTGTTACTTGAAATAACAAACTAGTTGCCAAAGCACCATTTCTCATTTTCATTTAGTTGAACTTTATGCTAAAATATCTAAAACTAAAACTGCAATCAAAATTAATAAAAGCTATATAGACATTTTCTTTATTAAAAAAATAAATGTATACATCATGAATAAATTAGCTTTCCATTGATGTATGGTTTGTTAGGATAGGACAATATTTGGCCGAGATGCAACTATTTGAAAATCTGGAATCTGAGGGTGCAAAAAATCTAAATATTGAGAAAATCACCTTTAAAGTTGTCCAAATGAAGTTCTTAGCAATGCATATTACTAATCAAAAATTGAGTTTGGATATATTTACAGTAAAAAATGTACTAAATATCTTCATGGAACATGATCTTCACTTAATATCCTAATGATTTTTGGCATAAAAGAAAAATCAATAATTTTGACCCATACAATGTATTTTTTGGCTATTGCTACAAATATACCCCAGCGACTTAACACTGCTTTTGTGCTGCAGGGTCACTAGCATTTTACAAAACGTTCCAACTTTTCTGGAATCGGGGTTGTAGTTAGGGTGATTAAATGTTATAAAAAAAAAAAGTGATTCTATTGAAAACCCTAATAATGTAATTTACTATATATGTATGTGTGTGTATCTATAGTAATATCTACCATCATATTGCTTGTTAGCCATAACATAAAAATAATGATTGTTTTTGCCAAAATGTATATATTTTATATAATTGTATAATATAATGTAACCTGCCATAAAAAAAATGGAACATCTCTGAAATCTTAGGAAAATCGACACATTTCAGACTTGCCAAAACGTAAGCATGATCTCAACACACACACACACACACACACACACACACACACACACACGGGGGTAAAACACAGTCTGTTGTGTTTCTGGGGGTTGTGTTTTTGCGTCTGTGCACTTGCTGTTGTCACTTACGTCCTCTGCTGAGTGGCTGTTCTCTGATGGACAGTTGATGGGTTTGCAGAGGAGCATTGCATTGCTCTAATAATGAGTGTTTGATCCTGAATGACGGGTGGATGGGAATGAGCAGTGCCTCTAGCTCTGCCACTGCCAGCCCTTTCCTCACCTCTGTTCACCTCTCATTACCCGACTCACAGCCGTACCACCAGCCCACGACCTGCCGGCCTCTATTATCTACAAACTGATACGTTCCTCCACTTACAAAAGTACTGTGGTGGTACCATGGTATCAGAGGATAATGCTGTTTTTTACATACGTGCACTACTGTTCAAAAGTTTGGGTTTGGTAAGATTGTGTAATGTTTTTGAAAGAAGTAAAGGCTGCATTTATTTGATCAAAAATACAGTAAAAATCGTAATATTGTGAAATATTATTACAATTTCAAATAACTGTTTTCTATTTGAATATATTTTAAAATGAAATTTATTCCTGTGATGCAAAGCTGTATTTTCAGCATCATTACTCCAGTCTTCAGTGTCACATGATCTTCAGAAATCATTCTAATATGCTGATTTGATGCTCAAGAAACATTTCTGATTATTATCCGTTATCGTATTTTTGTGGAAATTATGACTTCTTTGATGAATAGAAAGTTCAATTAAAACAATAAATGAAACATAAATGTCTTTACTGTCACTTTTGATCAATTTAATGCATTTTTGCAGAATAAAAGATTACATTAATTTTAAAAAATCTTATTTACCCCACATTTTTGAACGGTATTGTACCATAATGCTGAATTATTGACTTAAAATGTGCTTGAAAGGTTCTTTAACTTCAAAGTCTGATAAAATCCGTGATATTGTAATTATTATAGGGTTTTCCATTGTGCATTTTTATGGTAATACCATGGTACTTTTTTTGCAAGGCTCATCACTTTTTAATAAAAAACAACATGTTTTTAGTCATTCGTTGATTGACTTAAAAGATTCTGTAACTTTAAAGTCCAATAAAATCCATGATAGTGTCCAAACCTCGGTTTTCCGTTGTGCATTTTTATGGTTATACCATGGTACTTTTTTTTGTAAGACTCAACTCATTTTTTATTAAATTTTTGGACATTTACACATCCAATGCAAAATATCATAAGACATTTGCCTGTTCGCTCTCAGACATGTCCTCATGCAGATACTGTTATCATCAGATCAAAGATCATTTCCAGGAACATTTTCATGGTTTTTCCAGCGCTGGCAGTCGTCCCGTGAGAAACATATACCACGTCTGCCATGAAAACCTCACGCTGACCCGACAACTTCGCTTTTCCATGGAAAGAACTGTGCTGATTTTTTTAATGATTGGTTCAGCTGTGGCTGATGGTCAATACATGAAGGCCACACAAGAATAACTGAGGGATAATATACAATCATTATCACAAATTAAACCTCAAACAACACAAAGTCATAAACTTTAATTACTTTATGAATAGTCATTTCTTGCATCCCTTCCTCTCTTCTCTCTAATTGTTCTTGCATTTATGAGCATCATAATAATAATTCCTGCTTGACATGTTGGTATCCTCATATCGTTCCTTTCTCATATTTAGGGAAGTGACAGCTCTGTGTCTGTGGACGGCCCGAGTGCTGACTATGCGAAGAGCTACGATGCTGTCGTGTTTGATGTGCTGAAAGTGACGCCAGAGGAGTTCGCAGTGAGTAAAACTGTCAGTGTTGAAATTGATGCATTCTCTGGTGGAAAACTGAGACGGCCTTTGGTTCTACATCGTTTGTCTTGTCCTGTAATGATGCAGTCTTATTAGAAGCAGTCCTGGTCATTCGGGACTTTTCCGTTTGGAAACAACAGCTCCGGTCCAAACCGAGTGAGCAGCCTTGCTGTCTAGTGCTTGTGTAAGCAGCATCCTGACTGACATGGAGCCTCATAATCTCTGGATAGTGAGCGGCTCCTCGCACCACATCCCTGTGGACACAATGAAAGGAAAACACTATATAATCATTACGCATTGTGGTGTTCTATGGAGTTTGATGTTGCTAAGGGAACATGTTTTAACCAGTCTTAGCTGATCTCCCGGCCTGGTCAGTCTGGTCTGTTGGCTGGTTTTATAAGGGTTTTAGGCACAATGCCACAGATGTTGCAAGTTTTGAGGGAGCATGCAATTGGCATGCTGACTGCAGGAATGTCCACCAGAGCTGTTGCCCGTGAATTGAATGTTCATTTCTCTACCATAAGCCGTCTCCAAAGGCGTTTCAGAGAATTTGGCAGTACATCCAACCGGCCTCACAACCGTAGTAACGTGTAACCACACCAGCCCAGGACCTCCACCTCCAGCATCTTCACCTCCAAGATCGTCTGAGACCAGCCACCCGGACAGCTGCTGCAACAATCGGTTTGCATAAACAAAGAATTTCTGCACAAACTGTCAGAAACCGTCTCAGGGAAGCTCATCTGCATGCTCGTGGTCTCGACCTGACTGTATTACGTCGTTGTAACCAGCTTGAGTGGGCAAATGCAACATGATTTTATTTTTGTCTTTGTTTCTCAGAGCCAAATTACCCTGATGGACGCCCCTGTGTTTAAGGCCATACAGCCAGAGGTAAGACACAGGTCACATTATTTTGAGCCTTGCAAACACTTCATGTCACTACACTGTTGCGTTACAGCCATTTGTAGTTTTATTTATTTATTTATTTTAGTTTTGGTTGCAGTCCTGGATGATGATTGGTCACATTTCCAGAAACTCTAAAATACACTGTATTATCCTACTATTTATAACTTCTTCATACTTTATAATCCGACTATTATCCATGTAACATGGAAATTGTAATGCAGACAGTGTAAACATTTTATATGCATGGACACATGTAATAATATAATGGATGAGTAAATCTACTTCTTTCATTATTCATGCTACTATCTTGATCCCGGTGCTAATTCCTAACAGCCATTGTTTTGATTGAGGAGCAGCGGCCGGTGAAATACACACCCGAGCGCGTGTTTAGACTGTCAGTTGTGCCGCAGTGGAAGCGCAGACTTTGTGAATTAAACACCTTGGCAGAATATTCGAACAGTCTGGCAGTTTTTCATTAGGGATGTTTATAAGCTGTTTGGGGAAGAGAATAACATTTCGGTATCAGTTGATTATCTTTGCCGGCGAGAGGGAGGTCCAATTTTTCCTCAGAGCATGATGTAAAACTGTTGGAAAACATGCCGCTGGCTTACGGTGCTTGATGGATGAGACCACCTGTGACCTGCTTTCATTCAGGTCCCTTTTCATTTCATTTACCAGCTCCCCTTTCACTAAAGCTAACTTCAGACGGGTTATGAAGCACCTAAATGATGCACTGCTGTACATGCAATGTTTTTAGACTGGTTAGTGGTGTCTAAAAAATTCTAAGGTTACACTTTATTTTAAGGTGTCCTTGTTACAGTGTAATAATGTCTTAAGTCGCTGGGGTATATTTGTAGCAATAGCCAAAAAATCATTGTATGGGTCAGAATTGTCGATTTTTCTTTTATGCCAAAAATCATTAGGATATTAAGTAAAGAACATGTTCCATGAAGATATGTAGTAAATTTCCTACCATATATCAAAACTTAATTTTTGATTAGTAATATGCACTGCTAAGAACTTAATTTGGACAACTTTAAAGGTTCTCAGTATTTAGATTTTTTTTGCTCCCTCAGATTCCAGATTTTCAAATAGTTGTTTCTCGGCCAAATATTGTCCAATCCTAACAAATCATATATCAATGGAAAGCTTATTTATTCAGCTTTGTATGTATAAATGTATAAGTGATGTATAAATCTCAATTTTGAGAAATTGACCCTTATGACCTTATTACATGTACTTACTATATGATTAGGGCAAGCCACGGTTAAGACAGCTGACTCCACTGTGATAATGTGACCCCCTCTCTCTCTCTCTCGCTCGCTTGCGCGCGTACACACACACACACACACACACACACACACACGATGCGCAAAACTCCGCATTTGAACAGTCAATAGCAAATACTTAAACTTGTAACAAAACAGTAGCTGATTCAGAAGCTCCAGATTGTCATAGCAAAGTCAGAATTACCTCCTCTCCTAGGTTCACGAAACGGTCGTCCATAAAATGCATTGCTGTTCTGTTGTAAGTAATCTTAAAGATTCCCTGACATGGCTGCTTCAACACTAACTGCGGTTACTGAAACCACGCCTTCTTTCTTTGCGTGAATATTTGGGTGGCATTATGCAAATATTTCCACATAGTGAGGTAGATATGTGGGGGCGTGTTAGAACGAGCCGTTTTAGGGGAGCGTGGCCGAGTCTTAACTTTGATAAAGAATATCTCTTTGGTTTTGAGACTTAGTCTTTGCAACTTCAGGGATCTTATCTATGCACAATCAGCTTGTAACACTCCAAAGAGAAAGGAAAACTTGAAATCGCATCATATGACCCCTTTAAAGTGCACTCTATTGTCCTACTATTTCTTTGAATTGTGTGTCCTCCAGTTAAAGGAACACTCCACTATTTTTGAAGAGAATTTTCCAACTCCCGTAGAGTTAAACACAAAACCTCAGACTTGTTTCCGTCTGAAACTTTACAGACCGAAACGAAGCCCTTGCATTTATTTGTGTAACTTAAATGTTTGAGTTACAGGATGTGCTAAACATGAACGGTCAGGGGGATCGGCTTCACCTGTGCATGTTCTTCTCATGTAACACGTCATCCTGTGTGCTCCCTCAGTGTTTAGAGCAGCGCTGTAGTTACAAATGCATTTTATGCAGTAAAACAATAATTTAAAAAAAAAAACTAAACTCTTTGGTCATTTTTGAGCGAGATGCTAACGGTCTAATCAGATTCAATGATCTATGCTAAGCTAAGCTAAAAGTGCTACCGCCAGACCCGGAGATCGGCTGAATGGATTCGAAAACGGTAAAACTCAACTGTTTAACTCTAGGGGAGCTGGTAAATGAGCCTATTTTCAAAAATAGTGGAGTGTTCCTTTAAAATGAAAATTGCAATGCAGACCCTGTAAACATGTTGTGTGCATGGACACATGTATGCTTTGAACAAGATTACCTTTTTTTAAGTTTTTTTTTTTAATTTTATTTGATTTTTTTTTTAGATTTTCTGACCTCTGTTTGATATGTCAGGCTTTACAGGGTTAATTATTGTTTTACTGCATAAAATGCATTTGTAAATACAGCGGTGCTCTAAACACTGAGGGAACACACATGATGACAGGTTACATGAGAAGAACATGCAAGTTACACAAATAAATGCAAGGGCTTCGTTTTGGTCTGTAAAGTTTCAGACGGAAACAAGTCTGAGGTTTTGTGCTCCTCGTCCACAAAAATGCATGCAATTTTAGACAAGGTCTGCGTGTGATTTAGGTATTAATATATTGCGCAAGTTCTGACGGCTGCTTATCACTCTTTTGGAACGGGCCTTTAAGATGCTGTAATGTCTACTTCTCTGTGTATGTTTGTAATCAAATTTTCAGATGTTCAGACTTTTGGATGTTTGAAAGTGTGAAAGAGAAATGTCTTGCAGTATCGTACAGACAATATGTGACATTTGCATGTATATATTCATCAAATACTACAGCCTTATAGAGTGAGCAATAGTTGTATGGATTTGATTGGACGTGTTTGCTGAGGTCAATCAGCTACATCTGGAGTCCAAACTAAAGAATTGAGGCTGATTACCTCAGCGCTGTGTTTATAGCTAAACATAAACGCACTTCGTCATTTCTCTTTTGAATAGCAGAGAATTATAATGCCTAGCAGAGAATTTGTAAACCGACTCACTCCAGATTTAATCTGTCTGTCAGTGGAAGCTTTCATTAGTCTAGTTCAGCGTCTGTGTTTTTAATACGTTCATGCTTTAAAGTGAATAGAATGTTCCGGATTATGATGTGTAACTCAGTTTATAAAAACAATAAAATGTGTTGACTGAAATAGAAGTCTATAGGGGAACCATTTGCCCATTAGTGTTTCATTCAAAAACATCTTAAACCAGCCTAAGATGGTTTGCTGGTTTTAGCTGGTCTGTTGGCTGTTTTTAAGCAGTATTGCACACTTTTCAGCTGATCAGGCCAGTTATAAAACTGAAATGAACTCAAATATAAATATTAGATTAAAAAAAATTATGAATTAAAAAAAAATATATTTTTTCTATACCCACTGTGTGTGTTTAAAAGAAAATTCTGAATTTGGAAAAATTGTAAGTGTGAACCTATCAGTGGTATTTTAAAAATACTATTACATTTACATATGTGTGTGTGTGTGTGTGTGTGTATAAACTTAATTTTTATGTTTTCCATTTTAATTTTAAATTTAAGTTTTTTAATTTAAGTTGTTGTTTTTATTAATACGTCTATATAGTTTTGAATTAACTCGAATTTCTGTTTTAATTTGACTTATTTTAGTACATCAAGTAGGGCTGGACGATATGGCAAAAATGTATATCACGATATATTTCTTAATTTCAGTCGATACGATATAATTCCGATATCGATATAACACTATTAAAAAAAAGCCTCGTAAAAACTGCCAAGAACGCCCACAACAGATGTCTGTGCATACAAACTTATGAAAAATGAATTTGCCAAGTCTCTGACACCTCATATAAAACCATATAATATTTTAGAAAAAAAAACCCCAGCACAAATAAATTAATGTTCACCTTTTATTTGTATTTAGCCTTCATTCAAACAAGAAACGTGAAATTCTTTCAGTCCTGCATTTTTAAAAAAATCCAAAATACAGCAAAAACCGTATCATTTTGAAATATATTTACTATTTAAAATAACGGTTTTCTATTTGAAAATATTTTCAAATGTAATTTATTCATGTGATTTCAAAGCTATAATTTTAGCATCATTACTCCAGTCACATGATCCTTCAGAAATCATTCTAATATTCTGATTTGCTGCTGAAAAATCATTTATTATGATGTTGAAAACAGCGGAGTACAATTTTTTCAGGTTTCTTTGATGAATGGAAAGTTCAGAAGAACAGAATTTATCTGAAATGGAAATCTTTTGTAACATTATAAATGTCTTTATCTTCAATTTAAATCATCAATTTAAATCATCCTTGCTAAATAAAAGTATTCATTTCTATAATTTCATACTGACTCCAAGCTTTTGAATGGTATATTGTATAATGTTACAAAAGGTTTTTATTTCAGATAAATGCTGATCTTTAGGTCTTTCTATTCATCAAAGAATACTGAAAAAAAATGTTTTTAAATATTGATAATCAGCAAATCGGCATATTAGAGTGATTTCTGGATCATGTGACACTGAAGACTGGAGTAATGATGCTGAAAATACAGCTTTGATCACAGAAATAAATTACATTTTACATTATATTCAAATAGAAAGCAGTTATTTTAAATAGTAAAAATATTTCAATTGTTTTTGCTGTACTTTGGATCAAATAAATGCAGGCTTGGTGAGCAGAAGAGAATTCTTATAAAAGAAAAAAAAACATTAAGAATCTTACTGTTCAAAAACTTTTGACTGGTAGTGTAGGCTGATTATTCTTATAGATTGAAACAAATGTGCTTCCGCCAGTATAAAGAGTATGAAAAGTGCAAACTGATTGTCTGCCAGCAGGAGGCGCTTTAAGAGGGTTGAACTAGCGGTTTTTCCAGTAACGGCTGTAAACAAATCAGCTCCGCTCATGAACACTCCTTTATTAGATAAAATAAAAATCCCATCGAAACTTTTCTGAAGACAGTCCTTTCCCTTTAGAGATACATTCATATAAAACACCCGCGACAAGTTTTGATTTTAAAACGTGCAGTGCTCATGTTTTTTCAACGAAGTCAAACGCCACAAATAAATCAATGTATGGGAAACTGGTAATGTATATCGAAATATCGGAAATGTGTTTAAAAACCATATCACCGTTACTGAAAAAAAATAATATCGCGATACATATTGATATTGATTTATTGTCCAGCCCTAACATCAAGTTAAATTAAATGAAAATGAGAAATGTTGCTTTGGCAACTAGCTGAAAAAAAAAATATATATATATTTCATTTAATTATTTTATTTCAAGTAACGGAAATGTTTTTATGGTTTTAGTTAACTATAATAACACAGGAACCTATTTCATTTGTATTATATACGCGTGAACACTCTCTTTAGTGTGAAAACTCTCATCTTATCTTTAAAAAAAAAATTATAATAAATCCTGCACTAGATTGTGCTTTTTTTCTATTCTTAATTCTACAAGGACTCCTCTTGATGACTGCATTTTTGTGGGCTTTTAACTGTAATTAGAGTTCATTAATCTGTTTAATGGAAACTAGATTAACAAAGCACTGGAAAGACACCCAAACAGCAGTTTTGGCAGGAAGAAGGAGTTACGTAAAACGAAGGAACTTTCTGACATGTCTGAAAGCACTGGATGCATGTTATCCCCCATCGCTGTGAATCATAGCCCGTTTTTCCATATTTTTCTAGAGTCTGCTGTGGTGGGTTAGATAGTATCACATTATTAATTTTCATTATGTTACTCAATGTTATCGTGATAGTTTTGATGATTGTTCTGAATTCAGATGTAAAAGGCGTCGGGTTCGTGACTTGAAATTGCCCATAATTCCTTTCCTGACACTTTTACGCCGTCCCTCAGAGCTGCGTGACCTCTGGCCCTCCTGAAAGCAGACTTCCCGCTGATGCAAAGGAAAAGAGGTAACCACCTCCAGCTGTGTCTGCTTTTGCCATCTTCGCCTTCTCTTTTACTCGTATGAAGCCTTGGCTGAAGCGAGTAATCTGTAGGTGTTCGTGTCCTGACTCGAAATGAACTTTCTCTGATAAATCTCATGCTATAAAGGCAGTTGATGTAAGGTCTGACCGTCTCGCAACCTCTGATCGTCACCACGTGAGATAATGAATGAAATGACCTTAGTAAAAGAACCATTAGTGATGAAAAATAATATAGTTTGTAATTGCAGAAAATCATGACTTGCCATCAGTAGTGATGGTAACAGCCTTAAACAAAAGTTTTTTTCAATTTCTGAACTATTATCAGTTGCATACTCCATCTTTTACTCATACGTGCAAATTTATGCTTTTATTATAAAATGTGGGGGATTTGCATTTTATTACAAAAATAAAATCACACTACAAGTAAATAAGTAATATAACTTAAGTATATAAGTAATAAAAAAGACAAACATTTTACTGTTTTTGGTGGGGAAATCTCACATTAAAAATCAAAAGATAAAAAAGAAAACATATTTTGAACAAATAAATTAAGCCTATTTTAAGACCATTTCAAGATTCATTCTTTATTTTATTTTATTTATTTTTTATTTATTGCATTGGCATGTTTTTTCATGACCTTTTTAACACATTTCCCCCAATTCAGAATTGTATTTGTTGTACTGAATTCAATTTGTGCTGATTAATATTTTTTTCCAGACAGAATGATTGTAATTTGTATTATGGCAATGAAAAAAAAAAAAGTAATGCAAAAAAGTTATTACAGTGATAAACATTTAATATCCCCAAATATTCATCACAGTAATTAATGTGTGTGTGTGTGCGTGTATTATAAAAAGTATTTTTTCTTTTCTTGAATGATAGCCTATAGCAAATTTTATATTTGAATTACATTCTTGTGTTTGATCAAACTGATTAAGTGAGTAAACTGTAGGACAAAAAGTGACATGTTTAAATGACTGTGTTTGACCTTGTTTGATCGATCTCAGAAATGATTTCATTGTAGAACTGGATTATTGCTGCTTGCTTGTGCCTCGTCTTGTGAGCCATAAATGCCACTGAAATGTTAAAAACCACAAGTCCACAGCCGCGGTGATGTGAGGAGCAGGTGTCGGGACAGGAGAGACTGTATTGTGGCCTTTCAGAATACCTACAGTGCCGCGCATCTACTTTAGTGCTGGGCATTCTGGGAATGAAAGTCAAAAACGCGACCTTTGATCTCTCACATGTTTTCTTTTTAATTGGTTGGGTGCTTTCCAAGTGTTCACCGTGAGCTCTTATGCCCACTAGGGCTCCTCCACGTCATCAAACCCTTTTGTGTTAGTTTTTTCCTTTTCATCAGGGAAATTGAATGTCTTTTAACTGGCCAAATCCCCCCAAGCGGCTTTGAAAACTTTTATTTAGGGTTTTAGGAAATTGCATGAAGATTTAATAAAAAATCAAATTTTCAGCAAAACCTCAATATGAGAGGTTCTGTTTTAATTGTACATATTTCATATTACGCATGTGTCTCTCATTAGACAGCATATGTTCGGCTTCAAATGTTTATTTCTTTCAATCAGCGCAGACTAAAGTCTTGTCAACACATCTTGTGTGGAGCATCTTTTGTTTGTATACCATAATATAAAATCTGATTGGATGAGCCACGTTAAAAAAGTCATTGGAAAAATAGCCATGAAAAGCAGACCTGTGATTCCACATGAGTTTGAGTTATTAATCCAAATCTACGCTTTAGCTAATGCTTCTCATGTTCTTATTTATTTTTATTTTTTTTCATTTACTTATTTTCTATAAATTTTTTTATTTATTAATTATTTTCCTTTTATTGAAAATTTTTTTTTTCTCATTTATTTCATTTATTTATTTTTTTATATATTTTCATAACATTTTCATGTTCTTATTTTCTCATTTGCTTTTCTTTTTATTTACTACTTTTCTTATTTGTTTGTTTGTTTATTTCCTTGCTTATTTCCTTAATAATTTTTATTTATTTATTTATCCTTTTTTTTCTTTAGTCAGGTTAGACACCATATTAAATTTTATAATTGTGACATTACATTTTATATCTATCTATCTATCTATCTATTTTTCTTTAGTCAGGGTAGACACCATATTAAATTTTATAACTGTGAGGGATGGACATGCAGTCTTAGCAAATATTGTTGTGTACCTAATGCATGCAATTTTTTTAAACGGAGTCGCAAAAATAAGTGACAATTAGCATGTGTGTTATGGGACTGACGAGACGTGAGACGTGTGGATCCATGTGCAAGCTATATTTAAAGCAGAGAGATCAGAAACACAGGCAGGGTCGAACAATGGCAAACAGGTATATGGCGGGCAAGACACAAGAATAATCCTAGGGCTAGTGAAGGTCAACGAGCGGCAAACAGACTCAAAAGGGCGAGACTAAAGAGATGAATCCAGGAAAACCCGAGAAATCAGACAAGGCTAGGCTAGGAAGCTAACGAGGGCTCTGTAGAGTAGCTATCACTGCTGGCGATAAGCGCATACAATACTCGGCCGTTGAAGGGAGTGAGATAGAGTGTTAAATAGTGAGTGAGTGATAGGATACAGCTGTGTGCCATCAGTGCTGTGTGCAATCAGTGTAATGAATGATGGGATATGTAGTCCGGGGTGATATGCAACAGTGTAGTGCGAGAGTCAATGAAGTGGAAAGGGTGACCTGATGGCTAGCAGACGGAAGTTCATGGACCGGATACGTAACAATGTGCTTCGACCCCGAATAAAGACTATAGGACCTGTGAGAGACATCTGGAAAGGGGCAGATCATCGTTCTCTGTCTAATTGTCTTTTTTGGTCTGTGCTTTTGCAGCGTCAGTAATCATTTGTGACAGTATATAAATAGAGGATGATTACGAACACATTAGTTTAGCTGAACTAACGGGTAAGCTGCAAATGAAGTAAACTCACAGAAAGTTTGTCACGTCCTGTTCACTGGGGAGGGGGGGTGAAAAAATTATCCGGACAATCTTCATAATTATTGATTGACAGAAGAAACTTGAGATCTTACACAAAGCTGAAAGAACATGAAATCATCACTTAAACAGGGTTCGGTTTAAATACCAGGGCTCCACAGTGTAATAATTCTGCTTCCACTTAAAGGCCTGCTGTCAGTCAAAGGCACTGTATGCTAGTGCTTCCTATTGCCCTCAGTCATTTAAAAAAGCACTTTTAAACCACAGGAGGTTTAAAATGTTCAAATCTTAACAATGTTATTATTTCCAATTTGACTATATTTGCTGTCTTAATTATGATTGTTTGTGTCTGTTGTGTTGTAGGAGCTTGCTAGCTGTGGCTGGAACAAAAAGGAGAAACACGTTTTGGCTCCTAATGTTGTTGCCTTCACACGGAGGTTCAACCAGGTAAGATGGATGATGATTGGTTTTGTTTATTTTGTTTTGTTTTGTTTTGTTTTCTGTGGTTGGGTAACTGTCTCTCTCTGTATAGGGTCTGATGGGCAAATGCGATTACAGAATATAGGCCAAATTGACCCCCTCTACTTAATGATGGTTCAGAGGAAATGGAATGAGACCGTGTAGGTGTGTTTGTGCCTGTTGTAAGTTCTGTGTTTTCTGGGATATCAGTTATCACATAGACTTTCTGAAAAATTGTTCACAACTTCCAAACTCTTTATAAAATATTTTTTTTTGTTTTGTTTTGTTTTGTTTTGTTTTGTTTTGTTTTGTTTTTTATTTTTTGTTAATTTTTTTAATTTTTAATTAAAAATTTTTTTTATTGAAAATGTATTCATTTTTATTTTATTATTTGTATTTCTGTTGCATTACGTTCTGGAATTATTAATTAATTAATTTATTTATTCCATTATTGTCACTATTGGTGCACAAAAAATAGAACATTATATTATAGAATATAATATGATTTATTATATTATATTGCATATGCTTCAAAAGAAATTGTTTTGTTTTGTTTTGTTTTGTTTTGTTTTGTTTTGTTTTGTTTTGTTTTGTTTTGTTTTGTTTTGTTTTGTTTTGTTTTGTTTTGTTTTGTTTTGTTTTGTTTTGTTTTGTTTTGTTTTGTTTTGTTTTGTTTTGTTTTGTTTTGTTTTGTTTTGTTTTGTTTTGTTTTGTTTTGTTTTGTTTTGTTTTGTTTTGTTTTGTTTTGTTTTGTTTTGTTTTGTTTTGTTTTGTGTTTTGTTTTGTTTTTTATTTTTTGTTAATTTTTTAAATTTTTAATTAATTTTTTTTTATTGAAAATGTATTCATTTTTATTTTATTATTTGTATTTCTGTTGCATTACGTTCTGGAATTATTAATTAATTTATTTATTCCATTATTGTCACTATTGGTGCACAAAAAATAGAACATTATATTATAGAATATAATATGATTTATTATATTATATTGCATATGCTTCAAAAGAAATCAAGAATCAAATCAAAATGTGTAGTTGTATAGATATATAACTGTGTAGTAATCTTAAGTTAGTAAAGCAAATCATTTAAAACAATTACATCAGCTCGTAATCATGACCCAGTATCAGACTGAAACAGACAATTTAATAAACACTGATATTGAATGTTACTGATCTGATGGAGGTATTGTTCGTCCCTAGTTGTCATCCCAGTGAAATGCTGCACTTATTCATTTATATATTCATTTCATTTTCCAGATGTGAAGTGTATGAAGTGGATATAAAGTGTATTTTTGCCTGGGCTGTAACTGATATAGTGCCAGCAGACTGCGAACTGTGCCACAAAACCATTATCAACCTGATGGCTCACAGATTTAGGACTTAATATGTGCTGGAAATACTGTTAACAGCTCTCACATGGGCAACCATCCTTTCCTCTTCAAGCTCGACCTTTTCTACCTCTTTTCTCCAGTTTAAGGAAAAATAGAGATGTGTGGTTGGCCAATCGTTGCTGTGCTGTTACATTTAGACAACTTTCATCTTGACATCTCGTATGTTGTTGACATTGGGCACATGCTGTTTTAACAAATTATCACTCCAACTAATCATTTACCACCCCGACTAACAGCGAAAATCACGTTCTTATAAAGATACATGTGAGAAATTATTAACACGACTGTCCAAGTCGTTTTTGCACTTATAGGAATAGTTCATCCCAAAAAATGAAAATTTGCTAAACATGTCCTCACCCTCAAGATTTAGATGAGTTTACATTTTCATCGGAACACATTTAAGAGAAATGCAGCATTTCATCACTTGCTCACCAGTGGATCCTCTGCAGTGAATGGGTGCTGTCAGAATAGAAATGCAGCATTTCATCACTTGCTCACCAGTGGATCCTCTGCAGTGAATGGGTGCCGTCAGAATAGGAGCATTATTATGGATAAAGGATAGTGATCGACCGATATTGATATTTTATAACCGATACCAATTATTTGCATGTTTATGTGCCCGATAACCGATATGCAGAACCGATATTTATTTACTGTTATAAAGTAATTAAATGACTGACTGGGTCATCTTAAAAAAAGTGTTAAAAAAATTAGCAGTCTTTCATGTTTAATTTAATCTTCACATTACAACAATAAAAAAAAAATGTATTTAAAGCATCAGCAGCAACACTAATATTAACAATAAGCAAAATAAATGTAGAAGGTCTAATGTTTTCAAATGGAGAAAATAAATAAAGGAAAGGCGTCATATCAACTTCATATCAAAGAATAATTCACTGGATAATGTTAATTCACTGAATAATATTCTCTGGAATATTGAAATATAACAAACAAAACATCGTATTTTATTGCATTTCTCAACTGGCATGTTATATCAGAATTACTAATAATGGTTTTGTCGTTCTAGATTATGAAATGCCTGCTGACAGCACAGTTTATCTATGCATTTACACAGAACTATATTCAAACTGCGATCGCTCGTGGAGATAATAAATAATTAATTTCCATAAAGGTGTATCTATTTAGATGTTTATTAGCGAAATAATGGTTATATAGTAAATGTTAATACAATTTAGGGTGTTTTAAACAAGTGAATCTTGTTAAAAGTTACATGCTGTGGCCGTGCTGGAGCATTTCCTGAGCATCAACCCGGTGAGTGAACAGCAATATGAAAGTGGCTTCACGAGACTAATGATGAGCATAGACAACAGAGAGTGAATTAAATTCAGCACTTTTATTTCCAACATGCGCCCATTCATGGCTGCATATTATTTAATTGACGCAAAGTTACGTCTTTATTGGGACAGGACTTGATGGATTATCTTACGTGACTCCGTGAGTTCATCTCTATTTCTTCGAGCCAAGCTGCATAAACTGCATATCAGGCATTTATGTAATACATCTAATTTGTGCATTAATGGCCGTTATGTTAAATAAAGTTTACTAACTACAGTAAATCAAGTACCCGTGCATGCCGTTGTTGTTGTCTTGTTTCCCCTCAGATGCGCTGCAATGGTAATCCTGCGCGCAATTCTCAAAACACCGTTTATCGGTGAATCCGATATTACAAAACCGATATCCGATTATTGTAAAATGCTTAAATATCGGGAAAAATATCCTGTAAATCGATATATCGGTCGATCTCTAATAAAGGACTTGTATTTTAGCCAGAAGCAGTTTTGAAGTTAAAAATGTCTTAATGATGGATTTGTTTCTTACAAACACGCAGCTTTTTGCTTCACAAGACATTAATTGATGGACTGGAGTGGTGTGGATTACTTGTGGATTATTGTGATATTTTTATCAACTGTTTGTACTCTCATTCTGACGGCACCCATTCACTGCAGAGCAGTGTTAATTTTGTTGATGAATAATTTTTATCATAATGTTCGTCAACGACTTCACAAGACATTAATTGATGGACTGGAGTGGTGTGGATTACTTGTGGATTATTGTGATATTTTTATCAGCTGTTTGTACTCTCATTCTGACGGCACCCATTCACTGCAGAGCAGTGTTAATTTTGTTGATGAATAATTTTTATCATAATGTTCGTCAACGACAATTTTTTTCACCGATGATAATGAACTAAAACTCTTTTTGAATGACAAAAACTATGACGTAAATCTATTGACATTTTCGTCAATGAATAAAAATGAGACGAAAATGTTAGGGAGGGACGATTTGGGATGAGATTCATTCAGAACTAATCTGCTGCGTGGTTAGGAGGTTATGCGTACATATGAACCGGCGGGACATAAACTAAAATACACTTGCTGCACATTGCATAAAATGTTCAAAAAATGTCAATATGTGGGAGTAAGAGAAGAGCAGACATATAGATAAATCTGACGATGCAAGAGAGAACTCAATTCGGTCCGGTTTTCTGAGCACAGACACTGAAGCAAACACACACAGAAAGCGCCTCTCACAACGTGCGAGTACTCTTTCGCGTCGCATGAACGGAGAATTACACACAAAATGATGTTGTATTGTCCGTTTTGATGAGTATTCACGTAAACTCAGTTGATTACATCTTTAAGTGAATGTAAACAGTAGGGAGAACGTGTATCAGTACATTGCATCCGTGCATTCGGTTTTAAAGAGACAGCAGCCTAATTTAGTTGCTATTTTCCAAGTCATTGATGTTAATCAAGCAACAAAAGAAACACAGAAAATCACTCACTGCTCTTGACTGAAACACTTTAGTAGCCTTAAAGATGAATCTAAATGTATTTATAGAAATAAATGTCTGCTTGAATAAATTAAGAATATGGTAAACAAGTTGCTATAAAGAATGCATAATTAGCCTATATAACCATTGGTATTTCATTAAAAAGTAGACCATGTTCTTGTTCTTTATGAGAAGTGGTTTTATTTAATTTTAACACAAAGGCATCTTGTGTGTCACAGCAGTTAAATCGGTGTCTATCATGATAAAACCTTAATATCAAACCTATATAATGAGCTTGGAAATTTTTGAGAAATGCTTAATAAATGCACTGTAAGCCGCCGACTAAATTTACTGTAATTTAGTCTACTAAAATCTTATGATATTTAGTAGACTAAAACTAAAAACAATTCAGATTACTAAAATATGACTAAAACTAAATGGCATTTTAGTCAAAAGACTGTGACTAAAACTAAATCAAAATATGCTGTCAAAATTAACACTGCTGCAGAGGATCCATGTGATGAAATTATGCATTTATCTAAATGTTCCTATGAAGAAACAAACTCGTTTTAAATTTTGGGTGAAGTATTCCTTGTTAACCAAAAACTTCTCCAGTCTTTTGCTTCAGTAGTAAAACTGAACACGCACACCTCATAGGGAAGATCTGTGAATCAGTTTTGTTCATGGAATGAATTTTGACTTTTAAAATGTTGTTTGTTATTCAAACTTGGTGATGCTGTTGGATTAAAATGCTTAAGGAACCATTAATTATAAAACCAGAAGGAAGTTTGGTTTCAAGATAATT